GGGCTAGAGTTGGGATAAGCAGGGTCTCTGTGGGGCAGCAAGACCCAGCTCCAACTGTGGTTCCTCTGCCTTCTGGCTGTGTGACTCAGGAGGGTTGCTCAGCTTCTCTGAGCTGTTGTGGTTCGCCAGTGCAGTGTGGCAGGTGTTGGTGCCTTGCTCGGGGAATGCAGTGTCTAGCCTGGTATCCTTAGAAAGTGGCTGAGGTTGGAGAATGGTGGGGCAGAGTCCCTGAAGCTGACCCATTCCTGCCTTGGACCTTCACGGAGATGCTGCTGGAAGTGGTGAGCTGAGAGCACTGGGCAGGAGTCAGAGCCTAGTGTCTCCCTGTGGTGCTGGGTGCACCCATGTGGGTGGGTGTCCTTGCCAGGGAGCTCACACCCTTGGGGGTCTATGAGCTGGCAGGCAGGGCTACCTGGCTTGGTGCGCCCTTGGGTGGGGGCTCCCATGGGTCCCTTCAGACTGGGCACAGTCCTCCTGTCCTCGGCCCCTGGCCTGCTTGCCCACCTGGGGGTGGGAGGAGACGAGGGTTGCCAGCACAGCTGGGCCAGGCTGATGGTGATGCTGTCTGGAAGTGTGGGTGGGGAGAGCCTAGCAGGGGGAGAGTGGGTCATGCTCTCAGCAGGTTCCCTTGATGACCTCAGATTGCAGGGACCAGGTTGTTTGAGAGCTGCAAGCAAGGCCAGGCCTCCAGGGACCCTGTGCTGGGGGTGCCACCCATGCCCCTCCACCCTGCTCTGGGTGGCCAGGGCAGGCACAGAGTGGATCGTGATGCCAGCTGCACCCTTGGGGCTCATAGTCTGGGGAGCACATGAGTTCCTGGCACAATGCTCCCAGGAGGCAGAGCCAGGAGTCCCAGGGAGGCTTTTGCTTGAGAGGATCTGGGAGGGCTTCCTGGAGGAGGGGACGCCTCTTCGGAAGTGCCCAGCCTCGGAGTTTGTAGAGCCCTCTCCCTGGCTGAATCCTGCCTGCCGGTGTTACCTGAGTGTGTTCCTCGTTTCAGTGCCTCAGTTTCCTCACCAGTACGCTAGGGGAGACCAGCGTAGCAGCCACAGCTGGGTCGTGAGGATTAAGTGAGGGGACAGTAGTGTCTGGCACACGGTAGGTGCTGAGTTAAACACATGGAGAAGTGCTGGGGCTGTGGGCTGGTGAGTTGGGCAGGGGGTCTGAACAGGAGGGACTCGGGCGCCCTCCTCCTCAGGGTGCAGGACAGCACCTGCACAGCGGGGCCGCATTTACATTTCCAAAGCTGGGCGTGCTCCCTCCAGGCCTCCCCACCAGGAGCGCAGCCCGGCGGCTCCTGCCCTCAGGACCCCCAGCCCACAGCCCCGTGAAGGGGCCAGGGGGAGCTCCGAGGTTCTAGGGAGGGCAGGCAACGGGAGAGGGCGCTGGGCCGGCCGGCGGGAGGAAGGAGGGGTCCCGGGCTGCAGCGCCCCCGGCCCTCGCCGCGCCCCGCACTTCCCTTTCCTGGCCGGGCTTCCTCTTCCCCGCGCCCGCCCTGCGCGGCCCCTTTGTTTCCCGGGCAGGGCGCGGCTATATTTAGGCGGCAGGTGTGGGAGCCCTCGGCAGCCGGGTCGCCCGCCGGTCACGCCCCCCACGTGACGCCCGGGCACTATAAATAGCCGCAGGCGGCGGTGGCAGCAGCGCCTGGAGCCGGCTCCGCGGCGGAGGGGCGGCGCCCCGACCCGGGCCCAGCACCGTGGGCACCGCCCGGCTGGCGCGTATGGAGGCGGCAGGACGCCTGCGGCGCGGGTGAGCCTGGCAGGTGGGGACGCGGCGGACCCAGGCCTTCCGGGACCCCAGCCCCGCCGGGGAGGAGGTGGCGCCCTCCGGAGGGCTGGGCGGGAGCCCCGCTGGCGTCCAGGGAGGGGGCCGCGCCCCTTACCACGACCCCACCCGCGACTGGTCCCCCGGGACTCCCCGGAGCGTCCACCTCAGCCCTGACCGCGGCACAGCCTTACTTCTGAGACCCACTGAGCCCCGGGCCTCCAGACCCCTTCCCCAGTATCACAGGGGGGCCCTCTCTGAAGGGGGCTGGATTCAAACTTCTTAACCCGCTGTGCCATCGGGAAGGAGGGTGGTAGCCTCCCTGAACCTCGACTTCCTCTTCTGTACAGGGGCTCCGTGTCGTTCCTGCCTCCTAGACTTGAGGCAGAGAGAACATACTTAACTGGACGCCTGGTGTGGCCCTGGCTGAGAATGTCCCCTCTCCCTGGCTTGTTTCCTCGTCTGGCCAACAGGGACAAGGATGGACTCTTCCTTTAAGGGTCTTGAGAAATCGCTGAGGGCTCTGGGCCTGCTGGCCCGAGGAGGCTGAGCCGGATCTCGGGAAGGGTGCTGCAGGGCTTGGTAGCAGGAGGGAAGGAGGGGCCATGGCTGCCAGTGGGTCCCTGTGCTGTGGGCCACGGGCTTGGTGGGGGTGGTAGCGACTCACAACACACGGAGGCAGGGGCAACCTGTCCCCATTTTGCAGATGGGAAGCCTGAGGCTTTGGCTTCAGGGAGTTCTCAGTGCCCATCCCTGGGGATCCTTAACCCTTGCTCTCAGGGCCCTACCTGGTGACCTCAGTGGGGGCGTGCAGTTAGGGAGGGGTGTTCTCCCTTGGGGGACAGCCACCAGGCAGGGCAGAGCCACACAGTGGTGCCAGGGCATCATTGCTTTGCTTTCACCTGGGGCAGGAGTAGGGGCTCCAGGGTGCAGAGACAAGTGGGGTGTGTGGCAAGACCCCAGCCCAGCCTTGTCTAGCCTCTCCCTGGACCCCTGACCCCGTTCTAGCCTGGGTTGTGACCCCTGAGGTGGTTCAGAGCCTCCTCCCTTGCAGCAGCCTGCAGCCCTGTGGACCTGTCCAGGGCCACTAGGCAGCAGGGCCAGGCCACGTGCTGTTGCCTGTGGGGTCTTCCCAGGTCCTTGGCAGCTGTGGGCGTGAGGGGTTGGTCAGCCCCTCAGGGAGAGGCCCAATGCTGTGGCTTCTCCAGCGCTTTTCCTCCTTTCTTTCTGTAAACATGAACTCGGCTCCCGCGCACAGGGACGTCCTGCCGTCCCAGGAGGGACCCAGGTGTTTGTGTGCTGTTAGCACGCGGTGGCTTCCCTCACCCACACTCAGAGCCTGTGCTCCCTCCAGCTGGGCAGGGTGGGGGCTGGCGGGACCAGGGGCAGGATCCTTGTCTCCACCTTTACCTCCTGCTAGAGGTCCCACCCCACCATCCGTTTTTTTTTTTTTTTTTTTTGAGGCGGGGTTTTGCTCTTGTTGCCCAGGCTAGAGCGCAATGGTGCGATCTCGGCTCACTGCAACCTCTGCCTCCTGGGTTCAAGCGATTCTCCTGCCTCAGCCTCCCGAGTAGCTGGGATTACAGGCATGCACCACCACGCCTGGCTAATTTTTTTTATTTTTGTTTTTAGTAGAGAGGGGGTTTCTCCGTGTTGGTCAGGCTGGTCTCGAACTCCCGACCTCAGGTCATCTGCCTGCCTCAGCCTCCCAAAGTGCTGGGATTACAGGCATGAGCCACTGCACCCACCATCTATCTGTTTTAACCTTCCCAGAACCACGCAATGGACAGATCCTGTGGTGTGGCGCTTGCTCGGAGCCTGTGAGCACTGGCTGCCACCGAGGGTGTGGAGGGCAAGCAAGGAGGAGCCCACGGTCCCATGCAGCCACCCTCCGAGTCCAGGGACCCAGGCCTCAAGCCCTCCCTGCGCCTGGGCTGAGACTCCAAGGGCCCAGCCTGCCTGGTGGGCAGCTGGGAAGGGGGTGCTGGGGCTGGGGCAGGGGCACAGGTGAGAGGGGGTGGGTTGGGGAATGGAGGGCTCTGCTGGACAAGGGACCCTGAAGTGCCTTTCCTTGGGTGGTAGACAGTAGTGACAGGGCCGGGCTTGGGTTGAGTCTAGGGGGCTGGAGAGTCTGCTAACAGCTGGGTCACAGCCGGAGGGAGCTTGGGTCACTTGTGTGGCCCCTCGTTGTGCTAATGGGGTAACAAAGAGGCTGGCACCTTGTACAAGGTCTCCCAGCCTTTCCGTAGAGAGGGAAGGAGGCTGCGTGCTCCTGGAACCCCCTTGCCCGGGAGCTTTGGGGTTGTGAGACCCAGAGAGGGAGAGAGGCAGGCGTGGAGGTGCTTCAGGTTACTGTGGCCCACCTGCACCCTCCCTCTTCAGGGCCCTGTTACGGTGTGAAGCCACTCCTGGCCACCTGTGCTGTCACCACCTTGGCATGTGTGCCTGATGGCTGGCCTATTGGTGTGGTCTGTCCCCGCCTCCGCAAGCTCCTGGAGGGGCAGAGCTGGCCTGTTTGTCCCCTGAGCCTGGCTGAGCCCTGTGTGAGCAGCAGAGACACAGTGGCAGGGGGACACTGGTGGGCAGGGGGACACTGGTGGGCAGGGGGCTACTGACAGGCAGGAGACTCTGCAGAAAGCAAGAGGCAATTAGGGTGGCCCACGGCCGCGTGTGGGGCCAGGTCCCTCACCTCCCTGTACTGGCAGCACTGACTGAGTGCCTGGGCCCCGTTCCCTGAGGATGGGCCACCCAGAGAGACCTGGGCTCAGATGTTCGCAGTAGCCAAGAATCGGAAGAGGAGAGGGCAGCTGTCCTGGGGTGGGGTTTCCACAGATCACGGCAGGTGGGCAGGGGCCAGGCTCAGGCTTCTTAGGGGAACTCGGCCTGTGTCCCCCACAGAGGGACCCATTGTCTGTGTGCTGGGTTCATCATGTCCTCGGGGGTGTGTATGTCCCTGAAATCCCTGTCCCCCTCTGTCCTCCGTCATGCCCTGCTGGCTGTGTGGTGGCTGCCCTATGGCCTTCAGGCGCTGGGTCAGTCCTGGCAGGAGCCGTGCTTCCTCGTGCTCCCACATAAGGAAACAGACCTAAGACGGTCATTCACTCAGCATGGTCAGGAGGAGCGCTCTGGGAGAGGTGTTGCCTGTGACTGCGGGCTCAGGGCAGGCATGAACCCCTCGTGGGAGGTAGGGCCCGCTGTGACCCCTTTCTATTCATTTTCTTCATCTGCGCCCCCAGATGCTGTGTGCTGCGGACCCACCTGGGGTTCATGGAGTGGGCCACGGGGCCCAGCCCTGAGCACTGCTGTACCCAGGCTCGCCGTGCCTGCTGCTGAGGAGTCCCCGTGCTGCTGGCTCTCACCATTGCCCTCGCCTGCCGATGGCCTCTGCTGCCCAGCCTGGGGCCAGCTCTACCGCCTGAGCCCCCTGCCCCCCTTCAGGACTCACCGTACCCCGATGGGGTAACGTGACAGAGGCCCCGCACGTCAGAGGCCGCTGTCCCCACGGCCGCTGCCCGTGACCCCTGGCCCAAGGCTGCTGGAGTTGGTTCAGTTCAAGTTCATTCTTCCTTTGGCCCTTGGGGGCTTGGGGCCCACCTCTGAGTGAAGGGGGCTGTCTGCCCAGCCACCGATGTGGAGAGGGCGCCCCCAGCGTGGGGTCCAGCTCTGGACACTGCTTGGCGGCCGGATTCTCTTTGGGCTTTTAAGTTTTCTTTGCTGAGCTTTTTTTGGTTGTTCTTTTTATTTTTTGCCTCTTTATGACTATCCAGCTGTGAGAGACAGGAGTTTGGAGTTGCCTGCTTTACTTTGGGCGGGGAGGGGGCTGTTTTTTCTCTTTTCTTTTTTAAGATTTGGGTTTTCTTTTTTAATTATCCAAACACTGGGCAGCTTCCTCCCCCACGCCTAAGTATTTGCACAATATTTGTGCGGGGTATGGGGGTGGGTTTTTAAATCTCGCTTTTCTTGGACAAGCACAGGGATCTTGTTCTCCTCATTTTTGGGGGGTACGTGGGGACTTCTCAGGACGTGTCCCCAGCCTTCTGTGCAGCCCCTTCTGCCCTGCCGGGCCTGTCGGGAGGCGCCATGGCTCGGATGAACCGCCCGGCCCCGGTGGAGGTGAGCTACAAACACATGCGCTTCCTCATCACCCACAACCCCACCAACGCCACGCTCAGCACCTTCATCGAGGTGAGTGGAGACGGAGCTGTGGCAGGCAGGGGGCCCAGGTATCTGGGAAGCCCGGCTGAGCTGCCTGAGGCCTCCCGAGAGGGGTCCCCAGCCCCCGCTGGCCAGACAGGGCTCACAGCCTTGAAGCAAAGCCCAGTCCCCGTTGCAGGATCCTGGAGGAGGGACATGGGGGTATCCTGGGGGTCGGGGGTGAGGGTGTTGGGGGATCAACTGGGTCCCCTGGGAGGCCTGCCGGGGGCTGGCATGTGATAGGAGGGACTCCATGCCATGTGGATAGAGGCAGGGGGTGAGGCTGGGGGATACATGGGCCAGGTTCTGCGTGCTCAGCCGTGGCCTGGGCTGAGGCCCTCCCCAGCCCTTTGCTGTCCTTTTGACCTCTGTGCATAGGCTGAGCGGGCAGGAGGTGCCCTGGTATGAGAAGTGGCTGCTTAATGGGGAAACAGGCAGATGGGGGACAAGTATGCAGGGCAGCTCCATGGCTAGCCCAGGCTTCCACACGCTGCTGGGCTCTGGGTGAGACCTCAGGTTAGACGAGGCTGGACAGGGGGCTTCAGGGCCCAGATCTCTATATGAGGAGGGACTGAGCAAAGGTCAGCACTGGCCACAGGAGGGAGGGACCGCTGTGCCCTGGAGAGCCAGCAGAGATGCCTGCCACTGGCAACCCTGGCAGATGGGACCAGATGCATTTACAGAAGCTATCTTGGGAGTGGAGTCTGGAGAGACCTGTGTGGCCTCCTAGAGGAGCCTGGTCTCTGCAGAGTGCCCTGCTGTTTGCAGGCCTGGGGCCATTGGCAGTCTGCAGCGGTGTGTGGGGCCGTTGACAGCCTCTGACTGTGCCAGCTGTGTCAGAGGCTGCAGCTGTGTGCAGGGTCATTTATGACTGAGTCCTTTGCCCTGTGACATGAGATAAGCCATCATGGTCTTGTCATAATGAAACAGGGATTTGGGCATGAGAGGGTATTGAGAACTGTAGAGCAGCAGGATGCATTGGGCACCCTGCCATCAGGGAGCCTGGACCCTGGACACTGAGCCAGGTGCCCTACAGAAGATGGCTGTCCCTCTCACAGCTGAGACCCTTGAGATAACAGCAGGATGTACAAGAAAGATTGGGGAGAACATCATGATGAGTGGCCAGGGTCAGTCCTCAGAATATGACTGGGATCAGGGTTAAGCCTGTAACCAAGGTCAGGTCTCAGTGTGTGACCAAGGTTGGGACTCTGTGTGTCCAGGATCAGCACTCAGTATGTGACCAAGGTTGGGGCTCAGTGTTTGACCAGGATCAGTGCTCATGTGTGACCAGGGTCAGGGTTTGGTGTGTGTCTGGGATCAGGGCTCACTATGTGACCAGGATCGAGGCTCAGTGTGTGTCCAGGATCAGGGCTCAGTGTGTGACCAGGATTAGAGCTTAGTAGGTCAGCAGGGTTAGGGAGGGCTCAGCCTGTGACCAGGGTTAAGGCTTAGTCCAGGATCAGGGCTCAGTGTGTGACCAAGATCAAGGCTCAGTATGTGACCAGGATCAGGGCTCAGTATGTCACCAGGGTTGGGGCTCAGCATGTGACCAGGATGAAGGCTCACAGGTGTGTGACTGTCAAGGCTCAGGATGTGACCAGGATCAGGGCTCAGTGTGTGACCAGGATCAGGAAGGGCTCAACCTGTGACCAGGGCCAGGACTGAGTCCTGGGCTGGGTGGCCATTCCCTCTGCTGAGGGTGCAGAGGGCCTCTGAGGTATCCCACGGCCAGAGAGCCCAGCACCCCGCCTGCTCCCTGCATTCTCAGATAGTTGGGTACTGGCCTCTCTGTGTTCTAGGTACCCGTCCCGTGACCAGCAAGACCCAGCAGCTGATTCCTCACCCCTCCCAAAATAGCTGTGAGAGCAGGTGGGGTGGGAACAGCCCTCACACGTGACCCCCGTGAAGTGGATCCCCCGCAGTGGGGGTATAAATATCGGCCTGGCTGTGAACTACCACGACCTTTTCCCTGGTCGTGTGGGGCTTCCCTGGTGGCATGCAGGGCCCAGCTCCCTCCTGGCCGCCATCTGAGTGGTGCCCACCCTCCCTGCTCTGAGGTGCCCCAGCTGACGCCCGCCCCGCTTAGACCCCAAAGTCCCCCTGGACTGGACCCATCCCTGCGGCTCAGCTGGGGTCGCTGCTCAGATGCAGGGGCTCACATGTGGACTGGGGGGTCCAGTTCCTGCTGTGGGGACCCAGTAGCTTTTCTGGAAGAAATGTCCTTGCTGGTAGATGTGGGGTCCTGAGCACCCCAGAGGAGGGAGTGGTGTGCTGGGGAGCTGGGGTCCCAGCTGCCGGTGACCATGAATGTAGGTGGAGACACCTTTGCCTTTGCTGGGTGGCCCAAGGGACCTGGGACAGGCTCTTTCACACCCAGACACCACCTTGACCAGTCGCGGAGCCCGAAGTCCACTCTTGGTGGGCGTCACTGCATCAGGGTCTGCCTGGCTGGAGGGTGACATGCCCTTCCCTGGGGGCTTCAGGGACCATGCCCCTGCCCCAGGGGACTGAGGGGACAGGATTCCACCCCGAGAGGTCTGAGGGGACAGGGCTCCACCCTGAAGGGTCTGAAGGGACATGTCCAAGTCCTGGGTGACGGTGGGGGACACAGCTGTGCCCTGGGAGCCCTGGTGAGTGGGTCCTGCTCCCTGAGCACTGCAGCCCCAGCCCAGCCCTGCCTCCTCCGTCCTCCCCCCTCAGGACCTGAAGAAGTATGGGGCCACCACCGTGGTGCGCGTGTGTGAAGTGACCTATGACAAAACGCCGCTGGAGAAGGACGGCATCACAGTTGTGGTGAGGCACGCGTCACGGGGACCCTGGCCACGGGGACCCTCGTCGCTGCTGCCACCGGGGGAGGGTGGGGCGGGGGGCTCTGGGCCTGCACAGAGGGTTTGGTGCCCCTCCTGTGGCAGCCCTGGACATGTTTGTGCCGGGCCACGTGTGTGTCTGGGTACATCAAGGGAAGGCCAGGGTGTTGGGCCTTGTGACCTCAAGAAATTCACCCTTGTGTACCCCATCTTTCTGTCTCTAGATCGGGCCAGCCTGGTTCGCCAGGCAGGGGTGGCTGGCACATGCTTGGTGCATGGGCCAAGGTGGGGGTTGGGCTCCTCCGCCTGTCTCAGACCCTCCTCCCGTCCTGTCTTGGGTCCATCTCAGCCTCTGTCCAGGTGGCTGCGGCCCTGTTGCCAGGCAGCAGGTTCCTGGGGAGGACCCTTGGGCAGTTTCCTTGGCTCCTTTGGCCCTGGGGACCCAGGTCTGGGCGGGGTGTGGGGCGGTTCTGCTGCCGTATCCTTGGGGGATGGGCCACAGCAGCTGCAGGCCCAGAGCCGGCCCCAGGGCAGGGGGTCCACCCCCGGCCCGGTAGACGACTGCCCCCTGGTGCAGGCCCGCCCAGCTGCATCCGGGCCTGTCTCCTCAGTGCGGAGCTTGAGTGACCCCTCAGTCACTGCTTTTCATCCCAGGACTCTGCTTTTGGCTGTGGTTGCTGTTTCATAACCTCAGCTTGGCGGTTTGGAGTGGTGGCAGTGCTGGCGCTTTGGGGTCAGATAGGCCTTGGGCTGCGTCCCGCCTCTGCCCTCCCCAGCCTTGTGACACTGCAGGTCACTCCGAGCCTTGGGTTCCTCAGCTCAAAGCGGGGCTGCTTGGAAGAATGGGAGGTGAAGGCGTGTCCCCGCTTCTCGTGTGGGGTGCACCCACACCCTCCTTCCTCTTCCACAGCAGCGGGAGGGATTGGGGTCAGACGTAAGTAGCCGTGCCGACCACTTGTCTCTAGGAGTTGCCCTGCCTGGAGGCTGGGGAGGGGTGAGATGCCCCCAAAGGCTGCGTGTCTGCTCAGTGGGCCCAGCGGGCTCTCCCTGGCACCAGACAGCCTCAGGCCTGGCACAGTCCCGCGGCCCTGCACGAATTCTCTTTCCCAAGACTGAAACGTGTCCATTCCCACCGCAGCGCTCTGGCCCGGGCCCTCCCCTGGGAAGACTCACTTGCCCACCGATCCAGGGCGCTGGGGAACGGGACAATGGGAAGCACAGGTCATCTTCTAAGACCAAATTAACCCCCAGGAACAATGGGCCGGGGTCCCAGTGGAACCGCCTGTTTCAAGTGCCCTTGGAAACGTGGGCCCTGTCTCGCCCCATAACCCTGTCTTCAGTCCTTCCTGGCACCTGGGCTGTGTGTGGCACGTGCCAGCCGTCTTTGCATGCCACCACAGGGGACTAGACCTCTTGCACCAGCCGACCCAAAACCTGTCAGGCTGCCGCCGGCACACAGGCGTGAGGGATTGTGACCCCAGAACTGGAGCTCGGGCTGACAGGTGTGGGGACTGGATTTGTGTGACTCTGGACGAGGCTCCAGTCAGAAAGGGGTGGGGTGGTCTAGGAAGGCTTCCTGGAGGAGGGGACAGCTGCAGTGTACAGGGAATGATGAGTCTAAAGCACCCACCATGGGGTGCCCATGGCCAAACTGTACGCCTCCTGTGTGCCCTCTGGATCTGCTGCCCCCACCCTAGTGGGCTCCTGGCACCCTCTGCCTCTCAGAGCTCCCTGTTCTCGCCTGAGCCCCAGGGCCACCTCTCCACTCTCCCGCAGCTGGGGGTCCTCATGTCGCTTCCCTTCGCAGGACTGGCCGTTTGACGACGGGGCGCCCCCGCCCGGCAAGGTAGTGGAAGACTGGCTGAGCCTGGTGAAGGCCAAGTTCTGTGAGGCCCCCGGCAGCTGCGTGGCTGTGCACTGCGTGGCGGGCCTGGGCCGGTGAGTGTCGGGGCAGGGTGGGGCTCGCCGTGTCAGGTGGTTGGGCATCTCGTGGTCAGATAGCCTCGCTTTTGGATGTGGGTCTTGAACACACGTCCATGCGACCTTCCCAGGAGGCCCGTGCCCCAAGTACTGGGGCGCCCAGACTGGTCCTCTCCCAGCATCACAGAGAGGAAGTGCTTCCCAAAGTCTAACCCAACTTCTTCCTGCTGTGGTTGTAACCATCCCGACATCTTGTTCAGGAAAGGGCTGTCGTCCCCCTCTCCAGACACAAAGATCCACCCCTGCACAGCTGGGGCCTCAGACCCCTGCTGGGAGAACGGGAGGAAGAATGGCAGCTGGGATCAAATGAAATGACCAGTGGGACAACCCCATCCGCAGAGGGAAGCCTAGGCGAGCAGGGTTGATAGCAGGCACGGATCCAGCTCTTAGCACTTCACCCGGGAGCCCTTATTTAACCCTCCCCCAGCAGATCGCAGAGAGGTTGCCTAGGAGTAAGCCAGGATTTGGACCCAGTGCTCAGGCTGGGCTCTGAGGCTGTGGCCTCCATGGGGGAGCTTCCGGCAGCAGGGAGTCTGGACCCCTAGGGCCCCCGTGCCCTGCGTCTTCAGCAGGTGCCCTGCCAAGGGGACGGGGTGCGCAGGCTCCGAAGACCCCGGCCCTTCTGTTTGCCCCCAGGGCTCCAGTCCTTGTGGCGCTGGCCCTCATCGAGAGTGGGATGAAGTACGAGGACGCCATCCAGTTCATCCGCCAGTGAGTGGCTGAGGTGGCGGGGTGGGCTGTGAGCGCTGGGGGAGGGGAGATCTGGCTGCCCACGAAGGGTGTTGGTGTTGACTGTGTGGTTCTGTTGCCCTGAGGCTGCGTCGCTCAGCACAAGCTGGGACTTGCTGCAGAAACGGGGAAACCCGAGGTGTTTCTGATGGGTGGGGACAGCAGCCCCTGAGGGACCATGTAGCCACGCAGGGACACAGCGAGGCCACTCGCCATGCCGTCCTGCCCGCCCTCCACGGACGGAGCTCCTTCCTTCCCAGCCATCCTGACGGGGGTGGAAGGACCCTCAGCCAGCCGGTTCAGTCCCTCCATGAAAAACAAGAGCCTGAAACCCCATACCACACCGTGTCCGCCCCTAGGGACGCTCACACTGGGCTAGTGTCTCAGAGCTGCTCTGAGTCCGGCTGCTCACCACCCCTCCCCTCAACCCTGAGCTCTCCAGCTCAGCCCCTCCCCGCCCTCCTTGGAGGCTTCCAGTCCAGCTTGCCTGCCCCATCCCTGTCACTTGGTGGCCTCCCTGGGGAAGGCTGCCATCTGCCCACTGCCCAGGGGGTCCTGGGGGAGTCTGGCCGGGACAGCAGGGCCAACTCTGGAGGAACGGATGCGGCGCCTGAAGCCTGCCCCTGCCCAGCCCACCATGTGCGTGCCCATGAGTGCCACACACCCGTGCTACTTGGACAGGCTTGGCTAGCGAGGCCATCTCTTCCTCCCAGAGGCAGGCTTGTTCCCGGCCATACTGGCTGGCCAGCCCTGCGGGTCCGTGCAAGAGCGTGGCCAGCCCTGCGGGTCCGTGCAAGAGCGTGGCCAGCCCTGCGGGTCCGTGCAAGAGCGTGGCCAGCCCTGCGGGTCCGTGCAAGAGCGTGGCCAGCCCTGTGGGTCCGTGCAAGAGCGTGGCCTGCCCTGTGGGTCTGTGTGGGAGCGTGGCCAGCCCTGCGGGTCCGTGCAAGAGCGTGGCCAGCCCTGCGGGTCCATGCAGGAGCGTGGCCTGCCCTGTGGGTCTGTGTGGGAGCGTGGCCTGCCCTGTAGGTCTGTGTGGGAGCGTGGCCTGCAGGTGCTCAGGTCTCCTTGGGGGCCCTGGGATGTGCACGCTCACACACAGACACGCATGGGGGTCATGCAGGCACACACATAAGTACACGTGTGCACACACAGACCCAGACATATGCAGGCACACACGTACAGGCAGGTGTGTGAACACAGGCACATACAGACAAGTGGGTGCACACGTAGACACACATGGATGCACTCAGGCACGTACACACGTGTGTACTCATACATGACATGCATTTTCACACATGCGGGTGCACACAGGCGAGCACATTCCCTGGGGCCTCTCCTGACCCCACGTCTCACCGAGCCAGGGCTTGTCTCTCCCTTGTGGTTTTTGCTGTGTGGCTCCCTGCACCTGAAGCTGCGCTGGTCAGGACAGGTTGGGCGGTGCTGCAGAAATGGCCAGGCCCAGAACAGCATGGGTGTTTCTTGCCCCTGTTGCGTGTCTGTGGGTGGGGGCCCTACGCGGAGGCCTGGCTGAGGGCTGCGCCTTCCCCAGCATGCCGGTGGCTGGGCAGAGGAAGCGAGCATGGTGGAGCCACACGGGGTGCCTGCAGCTTTGCTGGACAGAGACTCCTTGCGCTACTTCCGCTCCCACTTCCTTGGCCAGGGCCAGCCCGTGGGCACGCCTGAGGCCATGGCAGGTGAGGATGGATGAGTCTCCAGAGGTGCTGGGTGGGCAGCCCCAGGCCCCGGACGCCTGTCACCTCAGGGTCTCTCAGGTGTGGCTGCAACATCCTCTCCTCCAGGAAGTCTTCCTGTCCACCCCAGCCCAGGTACCTGTGGTCAAGGACCAGGTGGCAGGGACAGGGTGAGCACGTAGCCCAGGTCCCCGCTGTAAGGACCAGGTGGCAGGGGCAGGGTGCGCACACAGCCCAGGTCCCCGCTGTAAGGACCAGGTGGCAGGGGCAGGGTGGGCACACAGCCCAGGTCCCCGCTGTAAGGACCAGGTGGCAGGGATGGTGGGGACAGGGTGAGCACGCAACCGAGGTCCCTGCTGTAAGTGAAGGTCGTGTAGCTGGGCTGGAATTCTGGGCTCAGCCCCTCCCTTACTCACAGGCCCCCCCTTCCTGGATGGTAGAGGTGCCCAGACACCACCCTTGTTGCCTGCTCATGGCCTTGGGGTGGGTCCTACCCATCTGGGGAAGCCTGGGGGCCGTAGGGAGCCCAGAGTCAGCCTGGAGGAGGTGGCGCTTTGGTGAGTTTGGAAGGCAAGCAGGGGTAAGCTGCAGGAGGCCAGGAAAGGGTGACTGTGACTCTGGGAGCAGCTGTGGCAAGGCCCTGGGATGGGAGGGGCTTGGCCAGCCGCAAGGCCTTACTCCAGCTCACTGCACTCTCAGCTTCCAGCTCCCTGGGACAGGTGAGGTGGCCGAGCCAGGGCCTTGGATGAACCCTGTCCCTGTCCCCCTCTTCCCAGGAAGCGCCGTGGAGCCATCAACAGCAAGCAGCTCACCTATCTGGAGAAATACCGGCCCAAACAGAGGCTGCGGTTCAAAGACCCACACACGCACAAGACCCGCTGCTGTGTCATGTAGCTCAGGACGTTGACCGGGCCTGGTGGCCCTGCCCAGCCCTGCTCTGCCCAGCCCAGCAGGGGCTCCAGGCCTTGGCTGGCCCCACATCGCCTTTTCCTCCCCGACGCCCCCGCGCACTTGTGTCCGAGGAGGCCCCTGGCCCGTGTGGCCTCCGGGCCTTCTCCTGTCTCCGCCGCTCTCTCTGGCAGCGCTGGCCGTGGCTCTGTCTTTCCGAGGTGGGTCGGGCGCCCTCTTCCCTGGACCCCCGCCCGCCCCCTCCCACACCAGCCCAGGCCGATCTCCTCTGGCCTGTTTGTTGCAGGGCGGGGGTACATTTTGTAACCACTGGGCCCCCCCAGCCCATCTTCTGCGACCCCTTGCCCTGACCTGTTCTCGGCACCTTAAATTATTAGACCCCAGGGCAGTCAGGTGTTCTGGACACTCGAAGGCAATAAATCAGGAGCCGTGGCATGGCCGTGTGTGTGTGGAGTGGGCTGAGGCGTCAGGCGGGGCGGGCCGGTGGCCTGGGGGCCCCCGCAAGGGCTCAGGAGGCCACTGTCGGGATGCTGGGCCGCTGCCCAGAATGGGGCTCCCGCGTGCTCCTACGCTGCCCTCTGGTGGCCGCTCTGGGTCCCTGCACCCTGACCCAGGGGCCAGCCTGCCTTTTCTCGAAAACCCAGGCGGGAGCCCTGCTTTGGGCGGGGTGGCCGTGTTGACGGTTCTCGGGACTGTGACATTAGAAGGCGAGGTGGGTCACCAGCATTGTCCTCTGCAGGATGGGCTGGGATTCATTTGGCAGTTCCTCAGGGCCTGTGTCCGGCGGGTTGGTCCCTGTCCTGCCCCAACCAGGTGTCCACATTTCAGGCTCCGAGGCGCAGAGAAGGGTGCAGGTGGTGGCTCAGGTGGAGGAAGGCTCCATCCATCAGCCCGGGGAGGGAGGGTACCTCCTGGGCACCGGGGGCTGGATGTGAGAGGCCTGGACCGGGGCCTGCTGGAGGGCGTGGACTGGATGCTCGTGTGTTCCTGGGTGCTGTGTCTGTGTTGGTGGCTGGCCCCACCCTAGGCCAGGGTGCACGGCGGGCATGGCCCCCGCTGGGAGGAAGGTGGGCCTGGGGCTGGCCCCACCCTAGGCCAGGGTGCACAGCGGGCATGGCCCCCGCGGGGAGGAAGGTGGGCCTGGGGCTGGCCCCACCCTAGGCCAGGGTGCACAGCGGGCATGGCCCCCGCTGGGAGGAAGGTGGGCCTGGGGCTGGCCCCAGGGTTTGGAGAGCCTAGGAGTGGTCTCTGTCCTGGGGCCCCAGGAGGTTCCAGCAAGAAGCAATTGGGGCAGGTCTGGAGGAGGTCAGTGGATAAGATGGGGAGATGTGGAAACCCCAAAAGCCCTTTCTCAAGCAGCCCTGCCTCCAAGACTGACACACGGCTAAGGGGGCCACAGACCTGGCTCCTGTGTGGAGAAAGGGCAACAGCTGTCCCGGATGGTTACTCTCTCCTTTCCTCAAACACATTTGGAACTCAAGTAAATCTGATGCGTGTTGGGTGAAGTTTGCTGTATTTTTTCAATCTACCAGCCAAGTTTTGGGGTCACCTCTGCTGGCCCTGTGTAGCCATGTCCCTGCCCCAAGAGGCTCACAGTCTAGGAGAGTTGCGGGGAAGACAGGCTGGTAAGCCTCCCAGTTACAGCTAGGGGTGTTCCACCTCGGGGGGTGGCGGGGAGCGGGGGCATGGAGGCGGGGCCTTGGGATACTCCACCTTGGGGGCCTGGGAGACAGGATGCATGGAGGCGGGGCCTTGGTGTGCTCCTCCTCAGGGCTACGGGGGAATAGGGGGCATGGAGGTGGGGCCTTGGGGTGCTCTTCCTTGGGGGGCAGGGGGAATGGGGGCATGGAGGTGGGGCCTTGGGGTGCTCTACCTTGGTGGGGGGCAGGGTTACAGGGGGTGTGGAGGAGGGGCCTGGGGGGCACAGTGCAGAGTACCAGGCTGGGAGGTGGGGGAGATGCTCCATGTGGAAGGACCGCCTGAGCTGAGTGTGGAGTGGGGTCAGCACTGGCCAGGAGGGGAAAGGGGGTGCAGTCTGGATCATCCCATGGGTGGGATGGTGGCTGGCCTGGCAGAATCCCGAGACAGAGGCAGCATGGGATGAGAGCCCAGGCAGAGCCCTGCAGGGAGGGGCTCTCCAGGAGCTGCGTGGACCCCAGGCCAGGTGGAAACCCAGGCCGAGGTGGAAGGTTGGGCAGGTAGGTTCCCTGGTGGCTCTCTGGGAGTCCAGGGTACCTGCCTCTGGACTCATCCCTCCAAGGGTCTTGGGAGAAAGGTCTTACTGCCCATTTTACAGATGGAACAGCTGAGGCTCAGAGAGCCAAGGCTCCTGCCTCAGGCCACAGTGTGTCCAGGGTGGGCCTGGCTGGTTCTGTTGCTAACCCTGAATGGACTGAGAAGGATGTTGATGGGGGTGGAGGGAGACATTGGGGTCCCGACTGAGGGAACTCCGTCCTACCATCAGCCCCCAGCCACTGTGGCGCATCAAGCTGGAGACAGACTGAAGATTGAGCAGCCACCCTGGGCGGAACCTGCCCTCTATTCGAGGGCCCGCCCAGCCCCCAGGACCCTGGGACCCCGGCAGGCTGTGGCTTGGGCTCAGGCCCCAATCAAGGGGACCCTGCCTCCAGGAGTGGACGGGCGTCCACCTGCAGGGCGCTTCACGGACTTCACAGCTTGTCTCTGTCCCCGGGGCCTGACCCTGGGTTTGTCCCCAAGTCCTGCCATTGTCTCCTGGGGCTTGGCTTGGTCGCAGCAGAAGGGCCCCTGGCGGGCAGGGAGCTGACACGCATCAAGCTGCTTTGTTGAATCTAGATCTTTCTTTCAAATGGAAAAACGTTATGCAACCAAGCTCTGTGGGGGGCAGATGGGGCAGGGCTGACCAGGTGGGCACAGCCTGGGGAAGGCCGTTGGGGAGGATGGCCGGAGGTCACTGCTTGGGTCTGGCCGACACCTTCTGGAGGAAGGATTGCTGGCTGGTGGCAAATTCCCGGATGCTGGGCTCGGGGTCGCTTTTGAGATGTTCAAAAGCTCCAGAAGAGGAGGAGCAGGTCAGAGGTGACCCCAGCCTGGAGCAGCCCTTTTACCCCAGCCCGGGTGGGGTGGGGTGGGGTGGGGAGGGGTGGGGTGGGGTGTGGGGGGTGGGTGGGGCCAGCTCAGACCCCACCTCCTGTGACTCCAGGCCTGGGTTGCTTCCCTCCACTACTCACCCACCACCCCCATTCCCCGGCCCCTTGTTCTGTTGGTGCCATGAGGCAGCTGTGGAGTGGGTGTGAGCCTTAGGCCCCAAGTGCCCTGATGGGGGCCTGGGGAGGGGAAGGGTCAACCTCAGCCTCAAGACACGAAGGTGGGATGGGGGCTGGGCACTGCTCAGGAGGCCTGTGTCTTTGTCCTGATGCTGGGTACGGGGGCGGGGGTTCTCCTCTGGGGCCTCAGTCTTGCTGTCGGTGCCATGGGTCTGAAGAGCGCCTGGGCAGGGGTGGGAGGGTGGGCAGGGGTGGGAGGGTGTGGGCTGCGGGGGCTCTGGAGGGAGGGCCGCTTACTGCACAATAGCAGGTTGATGTCCCCGGCGTTCAGCATCTGGAATACGGCCTGGGGGTGGCAGCAGATGGTGTGGCCTGTGCGACAGACGGGCAGCTGGCGGCTCGGGCTCCCTGTCTCCTGGGGCGCTCCAGCCCACCCCTGCCCCTCTTCAGCCCCAAGCCCCTCCTCATCCACCCCCTTTCCTGTCTTGTGGGCGGTGGGTCAGGGAGGGTCAAGGGTGTTTGGGTGGGGCAGGCCTGGGGGTCTCCAAGCCTGGCCCTGCCCCCCCCACCTATGAAGAGCGCCGCCCAGGTCTTGATGTGGCAGGAGTGGCTGTGCAGGTAGCTGAGGGCCTGTGACAAGTGGATGCCGAATTCCTCCTGGCTGCGGGTCATCTGGCCGGAGGAGAGCACACCTGGCTGGGGCGGGTTGGGGGGCCCTGGGGACACCAGGGTCTTCCAGCCCCAGCTTGCCTTGCCCAGCCCCTGGAGCTGCCATAGCAGCTGTGTGTGAGACGGGAGTGAATGGGGAGCCGCAAGCCTGGTCCCCACTCCTTGGCCCTGTTCCTCCCCACCGATCCCAGGCCCCTCACCAGGCAGGTCCAGAGGAAGTGGCGGGCGCTGAGGCCCCTCTCCCAGGCCAGCGTGCAGAAGAGGGTGTGCCGCAGCCGCCAGCGGAGAAGCACAGCACAGCGGTAGAAGGTGAACTTGGCCTGCTGCGGGGACAGGCGTGGAGGGTCACCCACCGTGTCTGAGCCCTTTCCCCTAGAGACCACAGGCCTCCGTGGGCACTGGAGGCAGCCTGCTGTGGGGGTGTTCCCTGGCTGTGTCCTGCTTGTGCCCCTTGGCAAGCCTCCGGGACCCTGGCAACAGCACCTGGCCCCCCGGAGCCCAGGCTGGCCTGCCTGCCGCCCTGCCCCCGCCTCTGCCCCTTCCACGGTTGCCGCGTATCTTTTTCCCCATGGCAGGGAGACCTGCAAGGCCAAGTTGTGACTTCATGGGCTGTGCACAGGGCGTGTGCTGGCACAGCAGGCAGGGTGCAGTCCATATTCCCACAAGCTCTGTGAACTGCTGCAACCCCCGCCCCGTGACAGGCACTGGGGGCACAGCAGTGAGCAGAAAAGACCGGGTCGTGCCGTATTGACGGCAAGCGTCGCTGGCATGCGTGTGCGCATCGGGGAGCGGGCAGGCCAATTGTGGCCAGAGAAACCAGTGCAGGTGGCCAGACCCTCTGCCCACCACTTGCTGCCCCGTGGGAGCTCCCCCAACTCTCAGGCAGCCCTGCTGCCGTCCATCTGCCCGGTCCCCTGGCCGCCTGTGGGCCCCAGCCCTGGCCAAGGTGAAGGCCTACCACCTGCCTTTCCTGGGGTGGGCACTGACCGTGGTGACAGCTGGGCATTGATCCTTCAGGTGGAGGAGCAGGGGCACCATGCTCTGGTGCACCTGGGTCCGCAGGCCACTCAGCTCCCTGTCTGCCATGGCTGCCACCAGGTCCCCGAACAGTGCCATGGCTGCTGCCCGAATCCTGTCCCGCTCCTGCAAGGAGGAGGCTCAGAGGCATGGCCAGACCTGTCTAGGGGCCCCAGCTTTTGTCCAAGTTGGGATCCCACACCTCATTGTAGGGGTGTAACTCAGTTCCTTCTGCAGGATTCCTTCACCCAGGCTCTTGGCTCCTGGGGAAGGGCTGGGGCTCCCCGCTCACACAGGGCTCTCTGGCGTCCCTGAGAACGTAAGAATCACATCTCCCTTCTACTCACAACTGCATCCTGGCAGCCCAGGCCTCATGAATGCATTTGAGGGGCGCCTGTCCCCCTGATTTCCCAGTGAAGGAAAAACAGCCACACTAACCGTGCTGACATGTCAGAAAGTTACATCTGGGTAAGCCTGTTGTGGGGCCGGAGACCAGTGCACTTGGAGACTGAACGTGAGAACTAGTTCAGCCCTGTGGTGAAGGGGCAAGCGCCAGGGACCCACCCAGCCCACCTGCACAGTGCCCACCTCAACTGAGGGCCACAAGCGGGCAGCTCCCCTGGGCCTGGGCCTCCCTGTCTGCAGCTTGGGGTCCCCCCTTTGGCAGAGGAAGGGAGCTGGGTTGGGAGGAGGGTCCTGAAGGGCGTGAGCAGGAGGTAGCCCTGCCCTGCCCCAGTGCTCACGTCATTAAAGAAGGAGCGTGCACTGATGGCAACACTGAGGCTCTGGCTCCCTGCGCCCTGCGCGCCCAGTCGGTGCAGCATGTCTGACACGGTGTCCATGATGCACACGATCACCTGCTCGCTGCTCTGGAAGAAGCCGTCGAGGAAGGGCCGCAGCTGTCCCCGGAGCAGACTTCCCTGGGGGTGGTGGCGGCTGGTGGGCAGAGAGCACCAGGACCCGCTGGCCCCATGCCCCACCTCACCCTCCCAGTTGCTCCCCTCACCCCATCTGCACTGCAGGCCGGGGGGTGGTGATTCAGAGCTGTGGGTTCCGGCCTGGCCCTGCCCGCCACGGGGAGCTGTGCCCCTACCTGGGCTTTGTCCATCAGGAGCTGTGTGGCCTGGACAGGGTGGCCTCTTTTCTGAGACAGGGTCTCACTCTGTCACCCAGGCTGGAGTACAGTGGTGTGGTCATAGCTTACTGCAGCCTTGACCTCCCAGGCTCAAGCAATCCTACATAGCGTCCTGAGTATCTGGGACTACAGGTGCGTGCCACCTGACTTTTTGTTTTTGCTTTTGTTTTTGGTAGAGATGGGGTCTCACTATGTTGCCTAGGCTGGTCTCAAACTCCTGGGGTTGAGCAATCTACCAGCCTTGGCCTCCTAAAGTGTTGGGATGACAGGTGTGAGCCAACACATTCGACTTGTCTTTTTTTTTTTTTTTTTTTTTTTTGAGACAGAGTCTCGCTCTGTCACCCAGGCTGGAGTGCAGTGGCGTCTTTTTTTTTTTTTTTAATTAATTTTCAGCCAGTTCTGTCTGCTCCACTTGACCGCGTGTTTGCAGTGAGCTCCTGAGTTACCGGGATGAATGGTCAGAAAGCAGTGTGCCCACCAATGGATGTTTCCTGCCATTGGGCCCCTTAGCAGTGACTTGTGTGCAAACCAGGGTGATTTTTACAACTTTTAAACAAGTTTATAGCAACTTTGTTGGCTTTCAAAGCTGTTTGCTTTGAAAATATTAAATTCATTTTCAGCAAGTGAGTCATTCAACAGACACACTTTGTGAACATCTGTGTGTGCAGCCCGTGCTTGAAGACCAGGGTTCTGGCCAGGACAGAACAGGACAACAGAATGAAATTGTAATGGAAATGGCGAGAAAAGAAAATAAAAATGCATAGCTTGGCCTAGTTCCGCTCAGTGAGAGTGCAGCGGGGTGGCCTGCCCCAGCCACACCTGGTTCAGCCTGCACGTCTCCAAGCCGGCAGGCCTCTTTGGCTGGCAGTGCTCTCAGGACCTGTCTCCTCTGGCCTGCTGTGGCTGCTCACCCACATCCCACCTGATGCCAGGTGGGGAACCACTCCCTCTTCTCTGGACCTGGTCCTCCTGATCTAGCAGGGCCCTTCTTTGCCTTTCTGTATTGCCTGTATTCAGTGCAGGGTACAGGGGAGGCACATGGAAACTTCCCACTGATCATCTCTCTGCCTGGGAGAACATTTGGTGCAGATATAACCAAACACTGAATGAATGAATGAATGAATGAATGAGGGAGCAAACATGTAAATAACTGAGTGAATGAGTAGACATATAAAGAATGAACAAAATAAATATTGCAAGAATGACTCATAGATGAAGGACCCGAAGAACAAGTGGGTGGGTGGAGGGATATGTGGGTGGATGGGGGGATGAATGGATGGATGAATGGAGGGATGGATGAATGGGTAGATGGATGGAGGCATGGATAGAGAGATGAATGGGTGGGTCGATGGTTGGATGGATGGAGGGATGACTGGAGAAATGAATGGATGGGTGGATGGATGGAGGCATAGGTGGAGGGATGAATGGGTGAGTGGATGGATAGGTAGGTGAATAGTTGGATGGTGGTTGGATGGATGGTGGCATGGGTGGAGAGAGGAATGGATGGGTAGGTGAATAGCTGGATGAATGTGTGGGTGGATGGTTGGAGGCATAGGTGGAGGGATGAATGGGTGAGTGGATGGATAGGTAGGTGAATAGTTGGATGGTGGTTGGATGGATGGTGGCATGGGTGGAGAGAGGAATGGATGGGTAGGTGAATAGCTGGATGAATGTGTGGGTGGATGGTTGGATGGATGGATGAGTGGAGGGATGAATGGGTAGGTGGATGGGTGGGTGGATGGATGGATGGGAAGATGATTGGGTGGGTGGATGGATGGAGGCGTGGATGGAGAGATGAATAGATGGGTAGGTGAATAGCTGGATGAATGGGTGGGTGGGTGGATGGATGAAGGATGGAGGGATGAACAGATCAGTGAGGAAGTGCTATCTAGTCTCCATCTTCCATTAAGCACCTACGATGCATCATGCACAATGCAAAGGGCTTTGCCAACTGTGACCCTAATGGAGGTCAGTCTTCTTAACCATGTGGGGACCTGTGATTGGAGGAGAGTCAGAGTGAACTAGTCTGCTAGGCAAATGACTTTGGGATCTCTTTGGAAACGGCCCCTTCTGCTGCCTTCCCATGATCACACTTTTCTCCCACAAGCCCTGAAAATATTTATGTTCATAACATCCTTCTCCAGCAACAACAGAAATAGGGGCTGGGCATGTCACCTTCCCTCTGGGGTCCTAATGCAGCCCTGGGGTGGATGAGGGGAGGCTAAGGCTCCACACTTCCTGATCAGGTGAGAAAATCTCCGCCTTGAACTCAGCGTTTTCATGGTGCGGAGTCAGCCAGGTAGGAAGTTTGCTGCTGCTGCTGCTGCCAGCCAGTGCCTCTAGGGCTGACCACGTGCCAGGGACTGGTCTCCGCATGGCACTCATGACCTGCCTACCACAAGAGGCAGGCACTATTACTGCTCCCATTTTACAGATGTGGTCACTGAGGCCTGGAGAGCTGACAAAGCCTGCCAGCTAGAAGGTGCTGGAGCGGGGATAGGTCCAGGGCCTGGACTCTTAACCACTGCATGGTGCCCTGGTGCTGTGGGGGCTGTAGCTGGGGTAAGGCCAGATCCCCCAAAGGTGGCATTGCAGGCCTTCCCTCCCACAGCTGTCCATGATGGGATATGGGTTATTATGGTGAAGAGGTAGAATTGGCTGGGACTGGAGAAGTCAGCAATGGGTTGGAGAGGCCCATTCATCAAGATTCTCAGAGGGCGTTCTCCTCTCTCGGTGAGCCCTGGGATGCCACCTGGTGGGCTTCACGGTGGCCACCTGGAGGCCTGCAACAAGGCCCCTCTCTCTTTCAGGTGTGGAGGAGACTGTCCCCGGGGAATAGATACTTTGACCCCTCCCACAACCTGCCCCATTCTACATATGAGGAAACAGGCCCAGAGAGGTGGAGTCAGCTGTCCCAAGCCACACCACCCAAAGTGACAGAGCTGGGATTCCAACCCTGTGGCCCTTGCCTACACCCGGTGCACTGGCCGTTCCGTGGGGTCGGATGTGCGCCAGCAGCCGTGTCCGACAGCCCTTACCTTATCTGGGTGGAAGAGGATGTTGCTTAGGCCCTGCAGACTCAACACACGGACCTCGGGGCTGGGGTCCCGGAGGCCTTGTGTCAGCACGGTCAAGGCGGCTTGTTTGGGAAGCACCTCCAGCAGGGCAGGGCTGTAGAGGAACTGGGGTGGCCCCCGGAGGGCAGGCAGGTCACTCTTTTTTGAGGCGCCTGCGTCTGTTGAGGGGTGGGGCTTTAGGTCCGGGTCCAGTGGGAGTTTCAGGGAGGGAGGTTGACCAGTGCCCTCTGGGTATCTTGGTTAACAAGTATTTGAAACCTACCAGGTTCAACCCCTCAATGCACAGCTGGGGAAACTGAGCCCCAGAAGGGAAAGGGCCTTGCCTAAGGCTACACAGCGAGGTAAGGCCTCACTTGTTATCAAGAGCCGGGCTTGTGGGGCACCTGGGGATAGAGCTCCCGTGGAGGGCGACCCAGGCAGCTGGTGGGTGGGAGCTGGCATGAGGCTTGCGCTTGGGTTCCCCTACTAGTGTCAGTTATGGAAACAGCGCCCTCCTCGCCCCAGTCCCACCCCTGCCTGAGCTCACAGCTGCAAAGTGTGCCACGCCCAGCGGCATCTGCTTCTACCCATTCCCCTTTGGCTTCACCCTGAGTCCCACAGGCAGGACAGGGCTGATGTTGGAGCCTGGACCTACCTGAGTCTGCTCCCAGTGCCCCTTCAGCTCTGCAGGGATTGTGCCAGGGAGGGCCGAGTGGGGAGACAGGTCCCCAAAAGCTGCGGCCCCCCTCCAAGGGCTGGGAGTGGGAAGGCAGGGGTACGAGGGGGTCTGTCTGGGTAGCCTCCCTGCTCAGGGTGAGCTCTGGCAGGGGTTTTGCTGGGGTGTGAAGGAGGCTGGAGAAGGAGGCTCAGGCATCTGAGGTGCTCCCTGCCGGCCTGCACCCCTACCTCGGTGAGGATGAGGATGGCCACCTTCCTCTCACGCTCCTCTGGGCTCTGCAGGCTGGGCAGCAGCTGGCGCAGCACCGCTCTGATCTGCCTGCAGTGATTCTGCACCATGGCCCTGCGGGGGTGGGCCTGGGCTGGTGGTCACTGCCCAGAGCCCACCCTCCTGCCCCCACCCATCTCATCAGGGCCGGCGTCCCGGAGCGCCCCGACGTGGCGGGCACGTTCCCACTCCCTTTACACTCACTGGCTGCCCACTGTGTGCCAGGCTTGGGCTGGACATGTGGGAGACAGAGAAGCAGGCATAGCCCTTGTTCCCTAGGAGGTCACAGGCCAGGGTGAGGCCTGGGGGAAGATGCTGCATCAACGGGCTCTGAGTGTGTGCCTGTGACCGGGGGCAGGGGGCCGTGGCCTGTCGATGCAGTCCAGATAGCCCCCTGGATGGGCGTGGCCTGAAGCAGGCTGCCTTGACCTGCCCTGGCCCCACCGTACCTGGCAAGGAGGCCCACGCCCTTCGGGTAGGTGTGGATGGTGGTGAAGAGCTCCCAGGATCCCTGCAGCTCCAGGTGGGCAAAGTCACGCCAGTGCCCCGTGGTGGACAGCAGGCTCTTCAGTGCCTCCAGTGACGTGCTGCAGCTGAGCAGAGGGGGCTCAGGGCTTGCCTCAGGCCACAAGCGGCCCCCTGGGCCACCCCCTGCCCTGGGAAGGGTGCCCAGCTGACCCAGATAGGAAGGCACATTCTGGTTCCTGTGCCTGGCATCACTGAGGCCTCCTGGGGCTGCTCTCTCCTGCCCTGTTTTACGTGGAAATGCTGGGGCCTAGGATTGGCGGAGCTGGGCCAGGCACGGGGAGGCAGCGTGTGCCCAGCCAGACCCTGGGCCTTGCTTGGGCAGAGATCGGGGGTGCCCTTCTAGGGAGGGGCACCCTGCTGAAGGGCACCTGCCCTTCAGCTCGAGGATGGCAGCATTTAAATATGGGCGAAGAGTACGGAGGGTAGCAGCGGGCAAGGGCGCGGGAGAGCCAGGGCGTGTGGCATAGTGGAGCCCAGAGAAGTGTCCATTCTCCACTCCCGAGATTCCTCTGCCCTCAGAGGACATGGAGAAATGCGGCAGCACTGGCCCTCACTTGTGAGTGACGGAAAAAGATGCCGTGCATGGCTTGTGGTGTCACCGTGTGCTTGGTACTTGCCAGGTACCATGGGCAGTGCCTCACCTGCCCAGCTGAGGTGGCCCTCTACTGTCACTGTCCATCAGCAGACGAGGGAGCAGTCCTGTCACACAGCCTGGCCAAGGGCACAGAGGTGGGGTCAAGCTGGGCCCTGGCTCCAAACCTGCCAGTGATGTCACTGTCACAGGATGTCACTGTCACTGAACGCAGTCCCTGGGGCACAGGTAGACAGCCCCAGAATGCCGGCCAGTGAAACATGAGATGGCCCTGGCTTGCTGGCCTGTCTCACTGTTCCAGCCACACACCCCCACCCCTGCCCCCCGCGCTTGGTCAGTGTGAGTGCATCACCCTGGATGTGTGAGCATGCCTGGACGAGGCTGTCAGCTTGGACCAGGCACGTTTCTGAGCAGATTTGCAAAACCGAGTGTCAAATGATGAAATGCCATCCGTGAAAGTTCTGACAGTGCCAATCCAAATGCCAGCTGGCTTGTCCTCTTTCCCCGAGCTGTGTCATAAAAAGAGGCAGCATTTTCCAGGTCACTGGTCTCAGCCACAATGTGACAATCGTTTTCAGAAGAAGGGGACTTGGTAGGGGGAGTGGCATTTTGTTTGCTCTGGGAGGACTCCAGAAGCTTCTGGTCCTGTGACTTCTTGGGCACTGTGATGGCTTGTTCTTCGAGATTGCCTTGTCCCTGCAGTCCCCGCAGGGCTTCCAGAAAGATGGGCTGATTCAGCATTCTCGGGAGTCCACGCCCAACTCCCCTGCAGGTCCGTAGAACTCACCTCCAGCCCAGGACCCCACGCAATGCTCAGGGACATGTGTCTCCTGAAATCCATACATAGCCCCAAGACCGATGAAGGCGGAGCCCCTTGAGTCCCTGCCTGCCCGTGAACTCAAGAAACCACCCTCTGTTCCTGCTGGTCCCAATGTCACTGCCTGCCTTCAGCCTCTTTGGACACTTGGCATCCCAGTGATGCCTGCCCCATACTCGACCAACCCCCCTTTCCCCACTCTGGCCCCGGAGAGGGTAAAGGCGCTTGAGAAAGAGGAGGCGAAGCCCCTCTGCTCTCCACACTCCTCCGCAGCCTGAGGGTCCATGAGACCCCCTTCCCTCTCCCACTACCTCCTGCTCTTCTGGTTTTATTTTTATTTTTAATTGTGGTAAAATAACACATCTCATAAAATTTATCATTTTAAGTGTACAGGTCAGTGGCATTGAGCACATTCATAATATTATGCAACCATCACCACCATCCATCTCCAGAACGTTCTCCTCTTCCCACACTGAAACTCTGTCCCCATTAAACATTAACTCCCCATTCTCCCTCCACCGAGTCCCTGGCACCCAGCATTCTACTTTCTGTCTCTTTAGATTTGGCTTCTCATGGACCTTAAGTAAGTGGACTCACACAGTATTTGACTGGCTTGTTTCACTCAGCAGAATGTGCTCAAGGTTCATCCATGTCGTAGCATCAGAATTTCCTTCCTTTTCAAGGCTAAGTAGTATTCTGTTGTATGGATGGACCACGCTGCTTATTCTAATTCACCCATTGATGAACACTTGTGTTGCTTCTACCTTTTGGTTATCGTGAGTAACACTGCTGTGAGCAGGGTGTACAAATATCTGTCCCAGGTGCCTGCTTTCCTTTCTTTTGGGTGTACACCCATTAGTGGAATTCCTGGGCCATATGGAAATTCTATATTTAATTTTTTGAGGAACTTCCATATTCTATTCCAAAGCAGCTGCACCGTTTTACATTCCCACCAACAGTGCACAAGGCTTCCGATTTCCATCCTCGCCAACACTCATTTTCTGATTTCTTTTGGACAGTAACCAACCTAATGGGTGTGAAGTTCCTCTTCTTCTTTTGATCACAAGCCTTTGGCCCCAAATCCCCGGGGGACAGAGGGAAAGATGAGGATGAGCTGAGGCTGAGAATGATGAGTGTCTTTGAAATGAAGAGAAACGATGTAGCCCGTTCGAATTAAACAGAGTTGGCCCACATGGATGACATGTGAGAACAATGAGAATTCCTTTGTGGGACAGGGTGGAGACTGGCTGGAGGAGGACCCAGCTGAGAACTGACTGACGCAGGAAATGTCTCTAAGGAAAAGGCTTTGTTAGTGGAGGAGCAGGGGAGAGGGAGGCCCCTCTGGCAGGCCTGGCAGCACCTGTTGCAGTCCTGCCTGGGGAAGGGTGCCCTGCTCGACCCCACTCGATGGTTGCTGGTCTCAGAGGCCTGCCCATCTAAGCAGGACATGAGAACTTCAGAGGCCCAGGGCTAGCCCAATCAGGCCTCAAGACTCGCCTGCTGCCCCATGGTGTCCTGTGCCACCCCCGCCGTGTTGGGCATGCAGAGACAGTGGCTACTCAGCACTGCCCATCCAGATGTCCTTCTGGGCCCCTGTCCCCACCTTGACAGTGCCACGGCAGCCTGACAGGGACTTCAGACGCTGGGCCACCGGGATACACCTGGGTGACCCTGTGCTCTCATGCCTCCCTTCCTCCCTGGCTCCATGGTGGCGCTGGGTGGCGTGGCTGCTGGTTTGGCAAGTGGAGCCTGGGCCCCTTCACGGTAGTTGAAGAGACCTGGGCCCATCCCGCTCTCTGGAGGGCGTGGGAGCCAGGCCTGGCCAATCAGAGCCGCACAGGCCCCTGTGGCCAAGGTGATTGGTTCAGGAGTGGGCATGTGAACCAAGCTAGGCCAATCAGAGCCCAGGACTGTGTCCATGATGAGAGTATTTCCTCTTGGGGCTGCGGGGGCTGCCGGGGCCACCTCCAGGGCTCCAGGAGAACCCGCCCGGAGAGGGGCCAGGATGGGGGGCAGAGCGGCCTGAGCAGAAACCATCCGTGGCCCTGTGGGAGGCAGACGTCCCTGCTGTATGGGGAGCTTGAGAGAGAGAGAGACGTCCTTGCTGGTGGGGGAACCCGCGAGAGGCAGACAGCTCTCTCAGCTGTGTGAGGAGCCCCCAGTGAGACAGACATCCCTGCTGTGTGGGGAGCCCAAGAGAGACAGACAGACAGACGTCCTAGCTGTATGAAGAGCCCGAGAGAGAGAGACGTCCTTGATGGTGGAGGAACCGGCGAGAGACAGACGTCTCAGCCGCATGGGGAGCCCCCAGTGAGACAGACAGACGTCCTTGCTGTATGGGGAGCCCCCAGTGAGACAGACAGACGTCCTTGCTGTATGGGGAGCCCCCAGTGAGACAGACGTCCTTGCTGTATGGGGAGCCCCCAGTGAGACAGACAGACGTCCTTGCTGTATGGGGAGCCCCCAGTGAGACAGACAGACGTCCTTGCTGTATGGGGAGCCCCCAGTGAGACAGACAGACGTCCTTGCTGTATGGGGAGCCCCCAGTGAGACAGACAGACGTCCTTGCTGTATGGGAGCCCGCGAGAGACAGACAGATGTCTCTGGCTCTTCGGGACCTTCCAGTCTATGGGTGCGGGCAGGAAAGCAGGTCAAAGGTGCAGATCGCAGATGGTAGCTGACGGCGGTGCTGCGGAGGGAATCAAGCGGCAGAGGGTGGGAGGCGCCGAAGGGGCTGCTATTTTAGAGGGTAGTGGGGGAGGCCTCAGCGAGGTACGGGTGAGCAGAGCCTGCAGAGGCAGAATGGCTGCGGGAAGAACATTCCAGCAGCGGGAGGAGCAGACGGGGTGAGGCTTTCTCCCAACCCTCCCACGTACCAGGAGGAGAACGTTTTATTAGCTTATTAGGAAAGATTCATGCATTTTGCATGGTTGAACTGAATAAAAACGGAACTTCATGCACATTCGAATTTAGAGGCAAGATGAGAAGAAGTGGCATTTTTTTTTTTTTTTAAGTGACTTGCCTTGGGGAGAGCTGTTAAAACTGACAAATTGCGTGACGCACATCATAATACAAACAAATGAAAAGAGTCGGCCCCAGCGGTTTTTAAAGACTTGCTTATTGGATTTTTGGAAATATGACCCGGTGCAGAGGGAAGATGAAGGCAGGCAGCCCTACTGAGGCCAGAATACGGCGGGTGGGGGAGCGGGCAGCTGGCCATGATGTCAGTCTGAGCATGTGCTGAGGGCCAGTGAGATGCCCAGGAGAGCCTGGAAAGGCATCTGCCCCCATGGGTGAGCCCAGGTCGCCTCTGCGTGGACATACTGTGTGGCCTAGGGGAAGCCTCTGACCCTCTCTGAGCCTCAGTTGCCTCATCTGTAGAGCAGGGACAATGAAATTCATCTCGAGTCCTCGCAGGAAGCCCGTTGGGGTAAGATGTGGCTCACTGCATGGGTGCTCTTGGTAACTGCTGTCCCCTTGGGGTCCCTGTATGGCAGCGACACTAAGTATCTCTACTGCCAAGCACCCTCAGGTGATGGGTAAGTGGGCCGAACAAAGTACCGCAACCCCTGTGGCCCTGGCCGTGGATGGAGCTTTGGGTTCATGACTGTTGTGGATTGAATTGTGTCCCCCCCGAAAAGAAAGCTATTGAAGTCAACCAACGGTACCTGTGACTGTGACCTTACTTGGAAAGAAGGTCTTTGCAGATGTTATCAAGTTGAGGTCGTTAGGGTGGGGCCCTAACCCAATGATTGGTGTCCTTATAAGAAGGGAAAATTTATTCAGATGCTAAATTTAACTGTTCAACTGCTGAACCACTCGACAGACATGAACTAAAGCTTAATTCTGACAGAGCTGGGAAAAAAAAAAAAAGAAGGAGAAATTTAAACACCAGCACACAAGGGAGAATGTCAGGTGACCACAGGGGTAGAGATGAGCGTGGTGCAGCCTCAGGCCCAGGAGCACCCGGTGTGGCCACAAGACACTGGGAACCAGAAGCAGTGAGGAAGGCCCCCCCAGGTTTCAGGGGAGCACACCCTGGTGACACCTTGGTTTTACACTTCTGGCCTCCAGTACTGGGAGATGTTGCTTTGAGTCCCTAGGGTGTGCATCTTTGTCACTGTGCCCTGTGAGGCTAACACAGTCTTTGCTCTCGGATGCCTGCGGAACCCTGTGTGTGTCTGGCCAGGCCAGGAGGCCTGGGAGGCTTTAGTCTTACCTTTGGGGGCTGGGTGCAGCCACCTCCTGGGCCTGCTGCTTGGGCTGGGGCTCCCAGGGTAGGTTCAGCTCCAAGACATAGTGCATCTGGGTGAGGAGGGCCAGGAAGAGCTTGGGGTAGGCCTCCTGCACGGCCTGCTTGAACTCCCGGGCGAACTGCAGCTCATGCAGCATGTTCATGGCCTGTCGGGGGCAGGCATGGAGTGAGGCTCCTAGGCCCTGGGTCCCGGGACCAGGGGTTCTGACCTACTGTCCCACAAAAGCCACATCCTAGCATGCTCGTCCTTCCCCGCTCCAAGCTCTCCAGGACCAAGTCTGAGTGTCCACATGCCGTCCCTCCCTGTGGGACCTGACCCCTGTGCCTCTGCAGCCTCAGCCTGGCCCTCTCTGGCACCCTCTGGACCCACTGCTTGGGTCTTGCTGCTGCTGGATGGCCTAGTGGTCCCCAGCCTCCCCCAGCTGTCCACCTGGATGCTGTCCACCCTACAACCCTGCAGACCTCCACCTCGACCCAGGGGCTCCCCCAGACTGCACACTGGATGCCACCATCTGCCCTCTGCACTTTGCCCCTGTCTGAGGGGTGGCCCGCTGGCATCTGGGCCCTCTGCTCTGTTGCCTTGAAGGCAAGGTCCTATTCCCACGATACCCTCAGCTCTGTGGCTGGCACACAGCAGGGCCTGATGCCTGGGAGTTGGGGAACCCATGGCCCTGGAAGGCAGAGTCAGCTGATAGCAGCCCCCAGCCCCAAAGGCCCTGCAGTGCCTGCCAGGGCACTCAGTCCAGAACGTTCTCAGGGTGGGGCCAACACTGAGGAGGGACAACTGGGGGAGGGCAGGAACTGGCGGCGTGGTGGGGTACAGGGAAGGCTCCCCTGCTGCCCCTGGGTGGGTCTCACCCGTGTTGCTGTGGGGTCTCCTGGTAGGAGGCAGCATCAGCCCAGGGCTGACCAGGGCGGGAGTGTTGGGGATGGCCAGCTGACAAATCCCTGGGCCGAGGGGCTGCTCTCCCACCGGCCACCATTGTTAAGCCCTCATCACACGCCTGCTGCAGGCAGTAGCTTGTCTGGCGGGCTCTGGGTGGCAGGGGAGCTGCTGTGAGTTCTGGGCCACTGCTGGGGGGCCTTTGGGACAGGGACTCAGCCTAGAAAGCTCTAAACAGGAACACAGCTGTGGCCTCATCAGGGACCAGGTAAGGGGGACAGGTGTGGCCATGAGCTCATGGCTCCTGGGAGTGTAGAAGCAGTGCTGGGCTTATGAGGAAAACTGGGGGCTTCCTACAGGGGGGTGGCGGCTGCAGAGGGCAGCCTCTAAGATTCCTCTAGAATCTATGACCCCCCAGAACCCAAGCATGGGGAGGGCTCTCAAGTCTGTCCACACCCTTCTCCTCTACCTGAAGCCCCTCTGAGGCCTCCCCACAGTGACTGAGTGAGTCCCCTTGCCAGCCCGGGGGATGGACACGACTGTCCTGATTCACAGACAGGAGCCCACAGCCCTTGGCCAGGAGGTGGGAGCTGGGCCTGTGTGGTCAGCCCTGGGCAGCTTTCCTCCAGGCTGGGGCTGGAATGGGTGTCTGCAGCCTGGATATGGGGTGCCCCCCTACAGCCTGGCACAGAGAGTGCTTGAGGTGCTACCAGTATCTGACAGGGCGGTGGCAGAGACTCACAGCCAGCGAACGCAGGTAGGTCTTCTCCTTGGGGCAGGGGCTGCTGTCACTGGCACTGGTGGGCAGAGGCCGCTCCTGCAGCCAGGCCAGCAGCAAGGTCAACACCAGGTGGCTTGTGGGCTGCTCGGCCCCCAGGGCCCTCCACAGCTGGAAGGTGTGGCTGTGGGCAGAGAGGGCATGTGAGGGCAGTGCTGCCACCCAGGCCTGGCTGGGCTCAGCCACATGAGCAGGCCACCATCGCCAGGGCCTGGGTGCCTGGAACAGCAAACCTAGACTGGGTCCTGAGCCGGACCCTAGTGGGATGGGGCTCAGGGCAGATACGAGCATTGCAGGTCAGTGTGGGAGGGGCCCAAGGCAGGGGCTGGACAGGGGGTCCCTGGTCCCTGCCTGGGGTCTCACATCAGCTTCCTCCTGGGTCTTTCCACTTTTAGGGTCTCTCCGCTAGCTCCTCACTCATGCTGGAGGTTTCCTAATGTGCCCTGTCTCCCAACTGCTTGTCATCTTCCTGGGCTCCCAGGTCCTGCAGACCAGAGCCCCAGCTGGCAGTCAAAGCCACGGCCTCCAAGCCCTCTGCTCTCTGACCTCCAGCCCCTGCCTGTCCTTCCCTTCCTCTCCTTCCCTTCCTCTGGGCCCCCACACATGCATTCCTGCTGTTTGGAGCACTCCTTGTCCCTGACTAGTTCCCCCTCAGCCCTTAGGGCTCATCACAAAGTCACTTCCCTCTGGAAGCCTGCCCTGACCACTCCCTCCCAGTCTGGGTTTGCTGGGGCCCAGCTCCTCAGGCCCAACTTGCTTCAAGTGACAGGCCATCACTAGCATGAGCACGGTGCTTTACAGTTTGTAGAGTGCCCATTTTGCAGATGGGGCCACTAAGGACTGGAGAGAGGAGACCTGCCCTGATCAAGGCCCTGTCTTGGAACTGGGGAGCCTGGAGGCCAGGGCTGTCCAGTCCTGTGACCTTTCCATGGATCCATGGGGCATGGCTCAGTGAGGCCTGGAGGGAAGGAAGGCACAGCTGGGCTGCCCTGAGATGCTGGTGACCACAGTGGTCCTGTTTACTACCCTAAATGGTCTTTGGGTCTGAGTGTTGGGTAGAAGGGGTTTGAGGGGCAGGAGGGCCCCTGGCATGAGGAGGCTGGGGCTGGGAGGACCACAGGAGGGTGGCTCCGTGTGTTCCCACCTCTGCTTTAAGACAGACTCAAGGGTGGCTGCCCTGAAAACCCTGGGGAAGCCACTCCAGGACCATCTAACCCTTGGCTGGGTGGGCACCGCAGCTCAGAGGACTCCAGGAGTGTCCACTCAGCTGGAAAGAGCTGGGCCTTTGGAGTCAGAAGGGTCTGGGCTCAGACCTCCACTCTGCCCGTGCTGGCTGTGTGACCTTGGGGAAGTCACTTAACTCCTCTGAGCCTTGGATTCCTGACCACAGAGTAGTGGGCAATGCCTGCCTCCAGAGGCTTAAGCAGGAGGATTCTCCCCTGAGCAAGCGTGTGTGCCCAGAGGGCGGGTGTTTCTATTCTGCTGCCCGCGGGCCTGCCCCTCAGTCAGCAGGTGTGAGCCGAGCGCTATCACGTGCAGTGTCCCAGGGGACCAAGCAGTGGTGGAATCGGCAGGAGTCCCCGACCTCCTGTGCATGACAGCCTCGTGGGGACACAGCAGGAAGCGCAGTGTGCTGTATGCTCAATGCTGCTCGAGAGACAAAAGCAGTGTGGGGGGCAGGGGGAGAGTCTGGGGGCCTTTGGTTTCAGACAGGGCAGTCAGGGACGCATCCCCTGAGAAGGGGACACTTGAGCAAAGCCCTGAGGATGTCGGGAGGGAGCCAGGCAGCGATGCGGGGGAGAGAAGCTTCCAGACAGCCCTGAGACAGCTTGATTCCTGGTGTGTTCAGGGGACGTAAAGGAAGGCCAGTGTCATTGCGGTGGAGTGGGGAGGGGAGAGGAGGAGAGGGAGACAGTGATATCATCGGGGCCACAGCACAACCTTGATGGCTGCTGTGGAGGCTTTGGCATTGGCTTTGAATGAGATGGGACCACTGGAGGATTTTACGCAGAGACGTGGCACAGGCCTACGTGTGTTCTTCAAGTACAGTGGGGGACGACTGGAAGTAGGCAAGTCACTGGAGGTGAGAGCCGGTGGTGTCTTGGACTACGGTGGTGGCAGCGGGGGCGACACACAGGCAGAGGTGGAGCTGGCAGGGTTTCCTAGGGGATGGGATGTGGGTGTAGAGAAGAGTCGGACGGCACCAAGAATTCCAGCCTGAGATGCTGGGAGCAGAGTCACCGGGTGTGACATGGGGAAGCCTGCAGGAGGGGCAGGTTGGGAGAGGCCAGGGGTGTGGCCTGGTTGGGTCAGTGGGAGATGCCTGTGTGACATCCAAGGGCTGCTGTCAGGGGGTTGGGGGAAAGGCTTGGGCCAGAGGTGTCAGTATTTAGGGGATATTTAAAGCCATGGGAATGGATGTGGCCACCGTGAAACTGAGTGTAGCTGAGGAGGAGGATCAAGGGTCAGCCCTGTGGCCCCAGGGCTATGAAATTAGGGAGATGAGGAGGAGCCAGTGGAGGAGGCTGAGCAGGAGTGGCCAGGGAGGTAGGAGGAGAGCCGGTGAGGGCAGTGTTCCCAGGAGGAAAGAGTCACTGACTGAGTCAAATTCTGCTGACAGGTCACATAAGGTGGGGACAGAGAATGGACTATTGGACCTAGTGACGTGAGGTTACTGGTGACCTTGACGAGAACCATTTTATTGGAGCAGCAGTAGACAAAGTCTGGTTCATGTGGGTCTAAGAAGGAATGGGAGCTATAACTCACAACCCAAACACAAACAACCCAATTCAAAAGTGGAGAAAGGGCTTGAACAGGCATTTCTCTAAAAAGGATAGACAAGTGGCCGATAAGCACATGAAGAGATGCTCAATGTCACTAAGCATCAGAGAAACACAAATCATCACTTCACACCTCCTAGGATGGCTACAGCCCCAAGATGAGAAATACCAAGAGCTGGCAAGTATGTGGAGAAACAGAAACCCTGGTACCTTGCTGGTGAAAATAGAGAATGGTGTAGTTGCTATGGAAAATGGTACAGCAGTTCCTCAAAAAGCTAAATATAGTACTGCCACATGGCCCAGAAACTTCACTCCTAGGTACACACCCAAAATAACTGAGAGAAGGGACTCGAATATGCTTGTATGCCAATGCTGACAGCGTCATTATTCATGACAGCCAAAAGGTGGAGGCAACCCGAGTGTCCATCAACAGATAAATGAATAAATAAAATATGGCGTACCCATGCAGTGGATTATTATTCAGCAATGAAAAGAAATGAAGTTCCGATACATGCTACAGCATGGATGAACCTTGAAAACATTAGGCAGAGGGAAATAATCCAGACCCAAAAGGACAAATATTGTATCATTACACTTACATGAAATGTTGAGAATAGCCAAATTCATAATACAGAAAGTGGATTAGAGGTTATCAAGCGCTATGGGGAGGGGAAGATGGGGAATTATTATTTAATAGTTACAGAGTTTCTGTTTGGAGTGATAAAAAAGTTTTAGAATTAGACAGTGGCAATAGCTGTGCAGCAGTTGCAAATATAATTAAAGCCACTGAATCATATACTTAAAAGTGAATAAAATGACAAAGTTTATATTATACATATTTTACTACAATTAAAAAATAACATAATATGCCAAACCCATTGAATTGTACACTTTAAATGGCCAAATTGTATAGTATGTGAGTTATATTTCAATAAATCTGTTCTTTAAAAAAGCGAACGAGAAGACTTCTTCATCTTCCAGTAGTGGTGCACTAAGCTACTTGAATCAGCTCCTCCATTGAAAACAACTACAAAGGTTAGAGAAAATATAAACATGTAGGCTGGGCATGGTGGCTCACACCTGTAATTCCAGCACTTTGGGAGGCAGAGGTGGGTAGATCACTTGAGGTCAGGAGTTCGAGACCAGCCTGGCCGACATGGTGAAACCCCATTTCTACTAAAAATACAAAAATTAGGTGTGGGGGCACATGCCTATAATTCCAGCTACTTGGGAGGCTGAGGCAGGAGAATAGCTTCAACCTGGGAGGCAGAGGTTGCAGTGAGCCGAGATTGTGCCACTGCACTCCAACCTGGGTGACAAAGTGAGACCCTGTCTCAAAAAGAAAAAAAAATATAAACAAGGGTCCTGAGAGTATTAAAGAGATGACGAGACTGTAAGAAATTGCAAGGCCAACATGTGGGGAATATGATGACCCTGAGGGGTTGGGAGCAGGAAAGCTACTGATGTCCTGGGGGCATCTGACAATTCTGGAAAATCAGATCCTTTGTTCTGACAGCCCTTGTGGGATGAAGGGACAGAGACCTAAGCTCAGAGACTGCACAACGTGGTTATTCTCATAGGAGACCCTCTGCCACTTCCAGGCTGGTGCCTAAGTGGATGTGAACAAACTCAAGCATATTTCAGCCACATTTGAATTGCATGGGGGCATCCAGGGCATCTGAAGCACTGGATTTGGCTTAACGTAATCACGGGCTGCAGTGTCCTTAGGTGCTTGGCAGAGACGAAGACAAGTTGTCTTCATAATACCTTAATTTTGGGCCCCAATAGTTCCTACATTTTTTTTTTCCCAAAAACAACATCCAGTATGTAGTCAAAGATAATCAGACACATAAGGAAGCAGACTCCATCGGTAACATACAGTAAGAATAACAAATAAAGTAGACCTGAAAACTTAGATATTAGAATTGTCAGGCATGAATATAAAACAAATATTTAATTATGAATAAAGAAATAAAAGACAAGCTTAAAAATGTCTTCAGGGATGAGGAAACTATAAATGATAGAGCAGGTGAGAAAGAGAACCAAAATGACATTTTAGAAATAAAAAATACCGAATCTGAAATAAAAAAATGCAATGGAAAACTTTAACATCACATCGACATGGTTAAAGGAGAATTAGTGAACTAGAAGATAACTCAAAATAAATTATACAGAATTCAGCAATGAGGGACACAAATATGGGGAAGCAGAAAGGAAGTAAGAAATTGTGCTGAGTATCTTCTGCTTGCCCCTGCAGATATAATCTCTGCTGTTCCCCATCCTGCCTCATGCCCCAGGAAGTTGACCTGTATAGATTGCATTAAGAAGCTCTCTTGACCTTTGA